AGGTCATGGTTCAATTCCCGATCAGGGCACATGTGTGGGTTGCAGGCTCAATCCCAGTAAGGGGCATGCAGGAGGCGGCCCATCCATGATTCTCTCTCATCACTGATGTTTTTATCTGTCTCTCCCTCTCCCTTCCTCTCTGAAAGCAATAAAAATATATATTTTTAAGAAAAGACTCTATGTTTTGAAGTAGGTAAGTTTAGCATGATGGCTAACTGCTATGTGCCCACCCCTCTGTGGCCCCAGGAGCCCACCAAGTGACCGGATATTGTGCTTTGGGGTGACGCTGAGTAGAGTCAAGGCTAGGATGAGGGGCAGGGGAGGTGCGACCAAGGTGCTTGTGCTGTAACTGGGGTGTCAACTCCCCTCATACCCTTGCCTCCCCCCCTCCCCGACACACACACACACACTCACACACACACACACTGGGGCCAGAGAGGGGAGGGCCAGGGTCACAGCCAGACCGGGCACCTCCACCTCCACAAACAGGTGCTGGAGTGCCCCCTTCCCACAGGCTGGTGGGGCTAGAGGGTGGGGGTGGGGCCTCCACCTCAGATTCCAAGGGTCCATTGGAATAGGCCCCCGTCCCCCACCTCTAGCAGCTCCTGCCTCTGGGAGCCATGGGCTGTCAGACTCCGGAAGGGACCAGAGGTGAGAAGAGAGGTGAGGGGAAAGGCCAGAAAAAGGCGACAAAAAATGTCACATGACACCCAGAGGCACTAGGTGGTGGGGAACAAAAAAGAAAAAAAAAGAGCCTCTGGTTCACATGTGAAACTCAAAAAAGTCACTGACACTGGAGGAGGCTACAGAGAGGAGGGTTAGAGAGAAAACCAGCAAACAGCTGCTCATAAAGGCAGGGGGTCCTGCCCTGTCCCCAGGAGCTGGGCTCTGCCAACTGCCCCTGCCTGCCCCTCCCCTGCCCGGCCTGGTTGAGGGGAATGGGAGACAATGGCTCAGGGTTAGGAGAGGGGGAGCAGTACTCCCTGCTGTGCTCCTGTGTGTGTGTGTGTGTGTGTGTGTGTGTGTGTGTGTGAGAGAGAGAGAGAGAGAGAGAGAGAGAGAGAGAGAGAGAGACAGCCACCCAGAGCTCCCACCACTGCTGCCCTCTCGGACTGGGCTCAGGGGTGGGATAGACAGCAGCTGTGACCAAGATGGTGGGTGGGTGACAGGAGGGGGAGTGTGAGGGCCTCATGGAGGGCTGGGTGGGGGTTGCTGGGAGGGGGGTCGGCTGGGGGAG